GGCCCCGATTGGCCACAATCCCCATGTGGGCTTGGTTCTGGTTGGTGGCTGAGCAGACCCAGCCGGCATCCTGGGGTATAGACGCGGGTGACATCCTTACAAGCCAGGTGTAGAAGGCTCAGGGTGCCGGGGAAGAAGCCAGTATCGGGCCCAGAGTGACCTCAGGGAGGGTCTCCAGGACTGAAGTAGGGGGAATCTTTTGGGAGGGACCAGAGCCCACCCCCGCCCCCTCCCCAGCACTTTGTCCCCACAGGCCGAGGCGCCTGTTTCCCAGCAGGGGGCAGCCGGGGCCACCTGGCTTTTCCTTGGGAAAGCAGTAGGCAGGCAGTGCCTCCCCGTGCTGTGCCCTCCGTTCGCCACTTACCCGTGGCCAACTACGTCCGTCAGTCAGAGCTGGTTCATCAAGCGTGTTGGTTATGGAAGGGAACCTAGGGGGCATCTCTGTGTAATCCAGGGTGCCTACTTGATAGTTGAGGCCGAGGCCCTGAGAAGTGAGTGACGAGGTCGGGGTCCCACAGGCCGCTGCAGAGCAGGGAGAGTCAGGACCCCCCCCGCCCCCACTACTGGGCTCACCCCTGTTAGCCAAAGACGTTTTTGTTACTGATTTTTGCATTCAATGTACTTGCTGCCTGGGTGCTCCGGCTTGGGCTCCCCCCACAGAGTAGGAGCTGGCAGTCCTGGTCGGTAAGTGACTGGTCGTTAAGAAGATGCCCGGTAGATAACAGTTCCTGGTTTGGGGGATCCCCTCTGGTGGTCAGTGGGAGGCCTGGCTGGATGCTAGTTTTCCTCTGCCCCCTTAAGGTCACGGCAGGAGGGGCCAAGGATCCAGCGTTCAGGTTAGGGACCCTGGAGTGAAGGACCTGTAAGTCTTGCCACCAGGTAGAAGGGGCCCGTTGTGTGCAGCTTGTCTGATGTCAGGCCAGGGGGCCAGCCCTGCAGGGCCTGGTTCTCTGAGACGCTGAACAGAAGGCCCCGGCCTGCCTAATGCAGATCCCACAGTCCTCCCGTAAATGTGCCCATGACCCCATGGAAGAGGTCAGGACCACTTTTCAGGGGTTCCTATGCTTGCTGCTCCTCCTTGCCCTTTATCCTAATTACTGAATCCATCTGAACCCTGATGTCATCGTGTTCTGGATGTAAACCCTCCATGGGCCTCAGAAGTTCATAGTCAGTGGAGATACTGCACAGCCATCCGGGAACGGGATGGGGAACGGTGAGATTTCTAGTTCTTCGACATATGCCTTTTCCTTTCTTGACTAGTTACTCTAGGTCGACCGTGTGCCGTGCCCTGTGATAAACACTGGAGAGGCAGCTTCGGTGCCATACGTGTGTAGTATTTCGGTTTCTTTTTTTTTTTCTTTTAAGTTTTTTTTTAAACATTTATTTATTATTGAGAGACAGGGAGAGACAGAGCATGAGCAGGGGAGGGGCCGAGAGACGGGGAGACACAGAATCCGAAGCATGTTCCAGGCTCTGAGCTGTCAGCACAGAGCCCGACGCGGGGCTCGAACCCACAAACCACGAGATCATGACCTAAGCCGAAGTCCGACACTTAACTGACAGAGCCACCCAGGAGCCCCAGGTTTCTCTTCTTAATACCCCGTCTCCAGGGTAGGAGTTTCAGTCTGTTCCTGAGGTCTTTTGTGATCGACACAGGCAGAGTGTGAGAGTGCTGATGGCCCAAGGTAGACCAGATGTCTGTTGGGAACACCAGAGGAGTGACTGTGGAGGAGGAGATTAGGCAACACGCTGGAGAAAATGCTGCCCCATTCTCAAGGCTGCTCTGATGACCAGACTTAGACCTCTGCTTGGAAGGTGGTCAAGTTGACCGTCAGTTACCATCAAGGATTTTCTAGTGCGTTAGCCCCCGATCATCAGTGGTGGGCAGCATTTCTCTCTCTGGGTGTCCAGTGCCCATCTTCACTTCTTAACTTTCTCCAAAAAGGGAGAGGTTGAACTCTCCACTTGATTATCACTAGGAGCAAAGGAAGGGTGAGTTGGAGCGGCACGTAGATCCTTCTAGAGCCGATTTTCTCTGAGCGGTTTTCTCTGAGCTCTTCTGCCTTCTTCTTGTCCTCACTGCTGGGAGTTTAGGGGCCGGAGCTGATTTTGTCATGCTGGGAGGGATGTTTTCGGGCCACACTGAGTGTGCCGGAGAGGTGATTGAGAAGAACGGGCAGAAACTCAAGCTCTTCTACGGGATGAGCTCCGAAACCGCGATGAAGAAACACGCAGGAGGGGTCGCCGAATACAGGTAAGGGGAAGCGCCAGCGCCCTGCCCTCTGTGGCTGAGGCCTCACATTTACAGAAACAGGACGGAAACAGGTCTCGAATATCAGTTCTGTTGATACCGATGGGCCGTGGGAGGGAGCTAGAGAATGTACCCTGCTTCTTTCTAAACAGTCCCAGTTTTTATCCAGCCAGCATTTGCTGTGTTGGGGGCCCTCCAAAGGACGTGCAAAGCAGAAGTCTCTTGGCACGGGGGGGGCGGGAAATGTGACAAGGGGGCGACCAGTCTGGGAGGTGACACTCCAGATTTCCAGGGGATGGGCAGGAATGTGTTTGCCCTGTCCTTCCGATTGGGCCTTTGCTCGGCCAGCCCTGTAACTGCCAGTCTCTCGCCTGGAATGAGTTCAGGCTGCAGGCACTGGGCTGAAGAATGGGTTTCCCGTTGCTTGTGAAACAGGTGTGGTGCACGGCGTTGCATGGAGGTCAGGCCTTTCCGGAAGGGTGCCGTGTTTCCCCCGCAGTGGGACCGTCCACAGCCTCCACGCTCTGATGGTTGACACAGGCGGCATTTTTAGCCATTTAATTGTGTCGCTCCCCGCAGAAGGCACGCTGACTCCTGCCTTTTTGTTTTACAAATCCACGATCCCAAGAGATAACCTGGCTATTTTCTGTGTCGCCTCCATATTACGTGTCTGCATGTGTGTTTTAAGAGCCTTAGGACAGCACATAATCATTGCCTGGCCCTGTTCCATAGAAGCTGCTATTACTTCTCGTTGGCATCAGCCTGACGACAAGTCCCACTAAGCAGACAGGACAGAAGGTCTTGCATCCATGGAAACTCAAGCCCTTGCTGCTGGACACCCTCCATTTCTTACCTTCAGCCCATACTTGAAAGCTTCTCTAGAGAATCTGGGATGCAGAGGTGTTGTGGGAGAGTGCGATTGAGCCAGAGGGAAGATCCCAGAACCCCGCTGAGATTCATGGGCGGGCAGGTGGGAGGTGTGGGGGACTCCGCCAGAGTTCCGCGCTTCTGTGGGATCCCGGCGGACTGATGTCCATTCCCATTGTCTCCAGTCTTTTTCTCCTTTGGAAGAGGAACCTCCATCACGATGATGCTGCAGCCTAGGGAAGGCAGGGTGGGGAACAGGAATAGGGGACCACTCTTCTACCATCATCCTGGAAACTTGGGTTAGAACAGGAGGACGCTGTCCCTCCCACGTGGTGCCCGATGGGCGAGGTGGCATGGTTCGTGAGGGTGGGCAGGGTGAGGATTGCTGCCTCGGTGGCACCCCGGACCTCTGGCCCAGGAGCTTCACGCTTCACCAGCAACCACCCTCCCTACCCAGGGGCCTGTGCGGTGTCTGCTGGGTGCTGGTACGTTAAGCGGAGCCATTGTGGTTCGGCAACAGCTAGACGCCTCGCCTGGAGTACATTTACTGCCCTCTCGCTGTTGCATCCGTTTTGGGTGCCAAGGAAAGTCGACAGGGAAGGGCAGACCAGGTTACAGCACACACGGAAGCCAAGGAGCCGAAAGAAAAACCCATCTGTAATTTCAGCAGGGTTTAGGCAAAACGAAAATAGAAGACTCCAGCATATCAAGACTGTTCTGGAAGCCGATTAGACAAGAAAGGGAAGTGCCGAAGGAATTAGAACCTCAATCTGGAGGCAGCCTGGGCCCTGCGGGCTGCATCTGTTTTTTTCCGTCTCTCTCTGTCTCTCTGCCTCCCTCCCTCTTTCTTTCTCTTTTTTTCCCCGGCAGTTTACAGTCTTCTCACAAGAATGGTCCCCCTTTGACGTTGTATTTAATTAAGGTAGAGCTGTTTATGCCTTGCTGCTTCCTTCCCAGCCATTAACCATTTAGTCCTCACGCTGTCCCTGGGAGACAGATCAAAGTACCCCCGTTTTACGGATGAGAAGACTTGGGCTTCAGCAATAAGTGACTTGCACGAGGTGCCATCACCAGGTAGCAGAGAAGCAACGATGAGAGTCTGGATGATTTCCAGCAAGCCCCGGGCAGGCCATGGAAATCTCTTGTAAAAAGCAAGATGGCAGTCACCGTGGGCGCATGGGCAGAGATGTTGGTCCCTGGTCACAGAGCGTGGTGATGTGAATCGTCTTGGGAGTGGCCAGTGACGGGCTCCGAGAGCTTGGTGCTCTGAACCAGCCCTGAGGCCAGCTTGGTCTAGTCAGTGGTTTAAGCGGGTAGATTTCATTGCACTTAAGGGTAGCCTTCGATGTGTGGATTTCAGCACAACAAGAGTTAATGCTGTTTTGAAATCCTAGGTAATGAATTTCTGATTGAGAGATACTATCTTTTCTAGTTGAAGAGACCAGGAAAGAAGAGTCCACCGTTTGGTTAATTGTCAGAATTTCCAGATTGCCCGAGCCTTACATGAAGGCTAGAGCTTTGCATAGATTAGAGATTTCCTTCTTGTAATGCCTGCCAGAAGCAAGTCTGGACTGTATGTCCATGCAGCCTAACAGGGCTTGAGTTGTCCATTTTGTGGATCTTCCTTGACTTAACGGGGCTATGTCCTGATAAACCCATCTTAAGGTAAAAATATCGTAAACTGAAACCCATTTAATACACCTAGCCCATCGGACGTCGTAGCTCGGCCTAGCCCACCTTACGTGTGCTCAGAACACTCACGTTAGCGTTCAGTTGGGTAGAATCTTCTAACACGAGGCCTTTTTAATAAGGAAGTGTTGAATGTCTCGTGTCATTTGTCAAATACCCTACTGCAAAACAGTATATATAGGTCATACGGGTGCAGGGTGGTTGGTCACTGTATTGGGACCGTTCACCCCTCACGATCCCGGGGCTGACGTAGCTGCGGCCATCAGTGGCCTGCATCACAGGTGAGGATTGTCCAAGTCCGGAATGTGATGTATGGTTTCTGCTGAGTGCGCACTGCTTTCGCACCATGGCGGAGTCAAACCGTGGTACGTGGGAGACTGTCTGCATGCATATCTCCTTCACCTCTTAATTGTAGGCAGTTGGCGGGGAGGCTGTTCAAGAGGTAATCCGCCACGTCTGTTCTTCCCCTTGGGCATGTGGGGCTCGGGGTCAACTGGATGCCGGTGTGGGGATTAAGGAGGAGTAGCAAGGAGCAGAGTGGAGGCTACTGCCGAGAAGGTCACTTCTTCCAAGGCTGCTGATGAGGACTTTCCTTTTCCAGACGCTCCCGGTGGCCAGCAGTGAGGCTGCGCGTTTCGCATGGGAGGCACGCATTCATCTGAGATGCTGGTGTGGCCGGCTCGGCATTTGTAGCAAATGTGGGACTGGGGTCAGAGGGTGTGGCACGGAGCTACCTGAGTGCCTTGGGGGCTGTGTCAAGTGCTAAAGCTGGGAGTAATTACAGCTGGGTTCTCACGGGGGGTTGGAAACAACCGATTAGAAAGAAAAGCTTCCTTTTTCTTCCAGAGCTTCCGAGGGCAAGACCGTGGAAGTGCCTTACAAAGGGGATGTAGAAAACACTATTCTGGATATTCTTGGGGGACTGAGGTCCACGTGCACTTACGTGGGGGCCGCCAAACTCAAGGAGCTCAGCAGGAGGGCGACGTTCATCCGGGTGACGCAACAGCACAACACGGTGTTCAGCTAACCTTGAGGATGCGGTGACTTCTGGCTCACGGGAGCTTCCACGCACACCTGCTCTCCCACCTCCTCCTGTGACATCAGAGATTCTGGCTGCTCCTGAATGTTGGACTCCTGCCTCCTGCTCCCCCACCTGCCGTCCGGAGGCTTTGGGGCTCCCCTAGTGCCTTCCGGGGCCCCGGAAGCAGGGCGCTGACCGGGTCTGTGGTCAGAGCCCAGCTGCCTGGAACTCATAACCTCATTGTTCAACTGCCCTTTTCCTTCCTTCCTTCCTTTTTTAAAGAAAAATGGTTTCACTTTAATATAATGCAATTATATTAAGACTTGGAGTGCTGGAGTTTGCCTTTGCAGGAAGCAGGTTGTCAAGGGAGCTGGGGGTTTTCTACCTACTTCCCATGCTTAGCTCTTAGCAGTCACAGAGGGGAGGCGAAGGGAAGGGAGGGGAGGGGAGGGGAGGGGAGGGCGGCCAGGCCTGTCAGGGTAACCCTCCAACCCCCCTCTGCTTTCGGTTGCTGGAAAAGAACCAAAAGCACCCGACCGGAACTTGGAGACTTGGCTTTGTGCAGATACTCATGAGGCACGGCGGCATGTTTTCACCACCTGCGTTACACGTGCCTTCTGGGAACAGGTATCTGTCACCATAAGGTCGATGCTGCTTTGAGGACACTGTCCCTGTCCCGGCTTTTCATTGCGTTTTGTTTTCCCTTCATCTCCTCCCTCCTCTGTCTCGACCTGTCAGGCTGGCCTCTCTCTTAGGTCGTGAGTTATTTTGGAGCTCCGTGGGATGTTTGGTGGAAAGGTCACCCACCAAAACCTGGGCAAGTGGAATCCCGTTGAAAGACTGCAAACACCTTGACCTGTGGCTTCCCAAAAGTCATTGACTTCAATTAGGAGTGAGAATTATTCCCTTCTCGGGGCCATTGATATTCTCAAGAAAGGTATTATTGTAAAGTGGTCAGTTCACTGGTGACAATGGTATTTTCTGGGAGAAAGGACCCGGGCCTTGGAGGAGTGTCCACTATGGCACTTGAAACCGTGAACATGGATTTGTTAACAGTGGCCACTTCTTTTGAGGCATTGCTTGAGGATTAAGACTGGAAAGTATACGCAGACCAGGATGTTTTACTTTTTCTTTTAAACAAGGTTTAGAGAAGCAGACGCGAGAGTGCATTTTCCTTTAAAAAATTAAGTGACTCTCCTGGAATAGAGAAGGATCACACAGTGCTACCGTGGTAAGGACCCCGATGTCCACAGTGACGGACGCCATACAAAGAATCCATCGAAACCATAATGTTCCAGGAAACTATCCTTCCGTTTGTAGTTTTCTAAGAACGCATTGATGGGTTCAGCACCTTCAACGCTGTTGTAAAACTTTTCGCTCCTGACTCCATTAGGAATAGTTATTGTACTTGTGGAAACATGAATTGGCTACACGTTTGAGATGAGGAGGGTCCGGAGGCTGTTTCAACATAGAGCAAGATGTGGGGTTTTGCTGGAGGCACCCCATGTTTTCCGTTTGCTTGTCTGAGGTTTGAGTCCCACACTGTTCCTGTGGAAGATGGTTTCTACTCAAGCTCGTGAGTTTAAGAGATTCTCTGTTGCAATAAAGGAGAGAAGTAAAAGAAGGGAGATCTTAAAGAAATCCATGCAAGATGTACTAGCGGTAGTAAGGGAACTTTTTGGGCACCCCTTGCTTAGCCTGGGCTCACCGCTGCCCCCCTCTTACATCCGGCTGCGGTGCTACACGCAGAGGGGTCTGGGACCGGGATGCCCATCAACCCAGTACGGGCTGTGGTCTTTGCAGAGGCCTGTGCCTGCCTTATCCATCTTGTGTAAAGATTTTGTACCCTCTCTGCTCTTGGTTTCCACCTGCTGGAGGCAGGTCCCTTGCTGAGCTAGTGTTGAGGGAAGCGAATCACCCGGAAGCAGAGATTTTGCAAAAAGCTCCTCGAAGGCCCCGTCGTGCTTTGCCTTCGTACGTGCATCTCTGCCTCCAGTAGCGCTGGGCCCCGGGGAGCCCCGGATGGGGTATCAGGTGCGGCGCTGGGTGCCCGAGTGTTCAACCGCCGCCCCCAGGCCTTCCGGCGCAGGAGTGGGTGCCGGAAGGTGTCCGCGAGTGAGACGCCGTTCACCAGGGGCCGTTCCTGCTAGGCATTTGGTGGTTTCGAGGCCCGTCCCATTGCCGCACGTGAAACCGCTTTTCCCCTCGTGAACATTTGAGCCAAGTCTGTAGCCACTGGGCCTCAACCTCTTAGAACCGTAAGCATCGAGTATTACATCAGCGGGGAAGGCGGTGATTCAGGCTGCTTTCCCCAGACTTGCCCGTAGCACGTGGCACGTCCGTCCAGACCGCCCTGGAGGGAGGGGCAGGACCCCCTCGTGGGTTGCAAGGTCCCCCGGATCCCCCCCCTCCCGTGAGCACTAATGCTCACAGCTCATCGGGGCCTCAATGCCAAGTCCCCAGAGGAGAGTCTTGGCGAGCTACCCGCCCCCAAACATCTAACCAGGAGGACAGCAAGAGGAAAGAGGTTACCCGCTCCTCCCTGGGCTCAGTGAGAACCCTGAATTTAGCACTGAGAACTCCCTTCCGTCTCTGCAGAAGGATTTGATAGCCACACGTGCAGATGGGGGGCGGGGGGGGGGGGGGGGGGGGGGGGGGGGCGCCGCCGCCGGCATGGGTCCCCGGGGAATTAGTTTCTGGGGTAACTAAGCCTCATCTCCCTGAGAGCGGACACGGGGGAAACCTACCGAGCAGCGCTCTTGAGACAAATGGGGGCTCCTTTTCCGCATGCCAGGAGGTCCCCTTGGCTTGCTGAGTTTTTTTTTAACAGGCATGAGCTAAAGGAAATCCGAAGGAACTTTCCACCTTGGGACCACTAACCAGTGTGTAGCAAGGCCACTGGAGTCCCGTGAAGCTGCCAAATGCTGTCTAGAAACAAAGATCTCTTGTAAACAGCATTGTTCAGCTAGGAGGAAATAAACGTGAACTGAATAAGCCCAAAGCGGGTTGAAACGTGCCTTTTATCTCAGCCTCTCATCTCCTGCATGGCCAAGCCTTCCTCCCCACCTCCCCGAAAAGCATTCCTAGGAAAGGCAATGCCTTGCATCCACTCCCCACTGCAAGGGGACCCTGCGATCACAGCGGGGCTAATTCTGGCGAGGGGGCGGGGGTTACCATTCTTTTCTCAACCTTTGTCTTGAAACACCTGACAGAGGCAAGGACACACATTTGCAATTGGCACTGTTATTTTTATTAGTACGAGTATACTGAAACAATAAACTTGTACTGGTATACAGACAATTTGTTTAAAACAATTTTGTTCAAATTTTGAATCAAACATTGTTTTCTTATAATAATGAAATAATTTCTACCTAGAAAACCTGCAAGCACCATCAAAGAAAGGGACCATAAAATTCAATAAACAGACTCGAGTGTATCCTACAAATAGACACACCACGATTAGAAAATAGAATATGAATTCTTCCATTTTTTTTTTAATATTTGTTTTAAAAAAGCTAGTGCAAGTACAATATTTTACACTGGAATTACAGAGAGTATGCACGCATATGGAAAAAAGTTCTGTCACAATAAAAGCTCTTAACTATGTATGCACTTAAAAGTTTTCTTTTCAGTAAGGTGCAAAACATTCCTTCCCTAGTTCTCCTCTGTACTGGCCGTGTCAGTCTGATATTGCCCCAAAGTTCTGGTGTCTCTTTTCCCTTGGCCGGTGGGAGGCATACGATTGGAAGTTTGGTGGGTAATGATCTGATAGTAAAACAGACAGCGATACGAATCTCAGAGATGGCTCTGGGGCCAGGGCCCCACTGGCCAGAAGTTAGGACTGTCTTAAACCAAGGCCACCACGAATACCGGCAGGGCTCTCCCGAGACCTCCATTCACTCGACCCTAAATGGGTTTACAGGTGAACACCGAGCCGGAAGAGACCACCCCAAGAGGGCAGTATTCGCGGGACCGAATGTATAGGTGTCAACCTAAATGCTCACGGACTGAACAGTTGACCCCCATTCCTGGACCGGATGATAAGAGCAGTGGTTCCTGGAAGAACCAGAGGAAACGTACACGCCCGGCTTCTTGATAACGGCCGTGTAAAGACACAGCTCTAAGCCAGCGTCAGTCACGTCAGACTTGATATTCCCGGAGGACGGTATATTAGCCCAGCAAGGAATGCTGTCAGCAGCACTTCCAACGCAAACCTTCAGACTGGCCATGGAAAAGGAGACCGGCTCGTTGGCCATCCAGACAGCAAACAAACAAAACCAAAGGGGAAGAAAACTTGGGTGAAGTCTTCGATTACCTGCAGTGGAAGACTCGAGTCCTTTCGGATAAGAAAAGTGACGGAAATTCTTTTAGAGACTGTTGCTGTGTCGATTCTACCTATTGGCCAAATGCACTTAATCTTAATACAGCTGAACCATTTGTACGCAAGTCACGAAGGACGTGAAAAACCGAAGCCGCCGTTCCCTCCCGCCATCGTACAGGTGAATGTCAGCTACCAGAAACGTTGCATTGAATGGTAAGGGAGGGGCTGAGATTCTGAATTTAAGAACTGTAGGTGGGTTTGTTCAATATCCCCACAGCTGTCCAGTTTCTGCTGGCTGCTTTGTGTCTGGGACAGAATAGGACTCTTCTGAGAAGTTGTTCTGTGTTTTACTGGGTATTTTGGCCTCAAGATTAAAGAAAAAAACCCCAAAATTAAAGTAAAATGAAGCATTGCAATTGAAATTCTTGTTTATACCCCCCATTTAAATGAGGTGCGGGGGGGGGTGGCGGAGAAAGAAGGATGAACTTTTCTTTTTTTTTTCGTTTTTTTTTTTTTTTGTCCTCATAATGAGTTCTGTTTTACTGGTAGCTAGGATCCCTTGTTACAAACACTTCTTGTTCAGGATTATATTCTTTGGGTTTATTGAAACAGGAAGTGCTGACAATGTGAAACAAGATCTCTGAAGAAAAAGGAGTTGCAATGGCTTGAGAGTTTAAACCAAGAAAGGAGCTCAGAGAAGTACTTTCAGCATAGGAATGAACAGTATTCTCAAATTTCAGAATACAGAGTTGCCCTCCCTCCGAAGAGGGCTCTATGTAACAAAAACATAAAGGAAGCGTAGGTATAGTTTAAGAGCCTTTTACCTAGTAATTCTTCCAGGCCATAACCACACAAGTCTGATAATTTTAGACATGACAAATTTCTATATACAAAAAAACAAACAAAAAAAAAAAACCAACATGTAACTTTCAACCTTTATGCTTTTTTTCTGTTTTTACAAACAAGGTATGAAACTC